AAAGACACTGTTTGTTTTCCCTAAATTTATCTGTAAGTTTAAGGTGATACAAGTAAAAATCAACACATTTTTCAAAATTTGACATTCTGATGCAAAAGTTTAGATTGTTTTACTTTTTTTTTTTTTAATTTTTAAATTTTTTTTAAAGATTTTATTTGACAGAGCATACACAGGGGGAGAGGCAGGGAGAGGGAGAAGCAGGATCCCGCCCAGCAGAGAGCCCAACATGGGACTCGATCCCAGGACCCTCATGACCTGAGCCAAAGGCAGACATTTAACCAACTGAGCCACCCAGGCGCCCCTAAATTGTTTTACTTTTAAAATATTAAGCTAATGCTAAAGTTGATGTGTAAAAATAAACCAATAAAAGATTTATGCTAAAGTATTGATGCTGTTCTATCTAGTGGGCTCACAAGTCACTTGGTACTTGTACAAATGGATTCCTAGGAAAAAGAGTGCAGAAATAGGCCCAAGCCCAGCATATGAGTAAGGTGACATTTCAATTCAGTAGGGGAAAGATGGATTTTTCAGTAAATGGTTTTAGGCCAACAGACTGACTACAAGAAAAATTAAGTCAGATTCCCACATTATTTCCCCCACCAAAGTAAATTCCAGGCAAATCAAAGATTTAAAATTTTAAAATCAAGGAAATAAAACCCCCCAAAACTGTGGTTGCCTCAAGTGGACAGGGCAGGGTGGGAAGTGGGCTGCAGGTTCTCTCACTGTAATAGTCCTTGAAACCGGATGCCATGTATTGTTTTCTCCAAAGTTTTATTTACGCTATTAATAATTGAACTGTAAAATTACTTAAAGGAATAATGGGAAAAAATATTTTAAAAATTAATTTTGGAGCATGGCAGAACCCATTGGCGAGTCGGTGGGAGCGTAGGAATGGAACTGTCAAATGGAACTGTACAATCTCTTTGGAAAGCAGTTTGACAGAGTCTGTCAGCTGAGAAAGCCCATTCTCCTTAGCCCACCAGTTTCTCTTCTGGGGATTGCACATGGTTGTATTGGACACGTGGGGAAGGATGTACAAGGAGGTGCACTGCAGCATTATTTTTGGTAGCCAAACACTGACAGCACGATACGTGAGCATCGGCATATGCTGGTGAAGCTGTGGGAGTTAAATATGGTGGAACAAGCCACGGGGAAGAGCCACGTCACCCGTATGTGCTGATGGACCACAGAGAACGCGTCAGGCCGCGAAGTGAAAAAAACAAACACAAGTGCAGAGCACAAAGGTTTAGAAACAAAAAGGACCTCTGTGCGCGGGATGTTCGATGAAGTATATGGAAGGAATTCATTGGTGGTAGTTGTCTGAAGAGAATGACGGGCAACCTGGTAGCATATTCTTTTATTCTGTTTGTGTTTTTTTTTTGTTTTTTTTTACTGGGAAGGTATGACTTTTCCATATAAAAATTAAAACCTAGTCAGAAATATAGTGGATTTGCTTTAAAACAGTTAAAGCAAATAAAACAGATCCTTGTCAGCATGGATAATCTCAAAAACATGATTTAAGTGAAAACAAGACAGCTTGCAGAGAGACACATCCCATGCAATGTTGTGTCGGTCAGTTTTAAGAACCTAAAGCTGTTACTTAGGACCGTGTATGTATGCAGTGGAGGTATGGAAACATCCTCAGGAATGGATACAGTTCAGGGAAGTACTTGCTGGGGGGGGGTGGAGAAGAAAGAGCGAGTACGACAGCCACGTGTCATAGTCCCTTTGTTACTGGTTGTCAAGTTCCAAGGAAGCAGGGCAAAAGATTAACATAAAAAAAAAAAAATGTATGAGGTTGATGCTGCTCTTTGTGCTTTCCTTATCTATTTATTTAAATGCAAAATTATTTAAATTTAAAATTGTTTTAAACTTATGTCCGTTTTTTGCAGCACCCCTAGTATATTCTGTTAAGTGATTCCTACTGAATTGAGTAGTGCTTTTGAGAAGTCACAAATGGTCTTTCTCCCTTTTTTTTTTTTTTTTTTTTACCTCTGACAGCAGGTCAGCAGTGGCAATGACCCCTGGTCAGCCTGGAGTGCTTCCAAATCTGGAAACTGGGACAGCACGGATGGCTGGGGGGCCAAGCCAGAGGGGACCACGGCCCAGAGAAACACCTCCAATAACTGGGACACTGCCTTTGGTCACCCCCAGGCCTACCAAGGACCAGGTGAGGAGGGGGCTCTGCCAGTGCCAGGGCCCACCCTGAAAGTGACTGGGGAGGGCATTCGAGTTAAAAATAGAATTTAATCAGGGGCGCCTGGGTGGCTCCGTTGGTTGAGCGACTGCCTTCGGCTCAGGTCGTGATCCTGGGGTCCTGGGATCGAGCCCCACATCGGGCTCCCTGCTCAGCAGTGCCTGCTTCTCCCTCTCGCTCTGTCTCTCCCCTCCGCTTGTTCTCTCTCAAATAATAAAGAAATAAAGTCTTTAAAAAAAAAAAAGGTATTTTAAAAATAGAATTTAATCAAAGGAGCACTGTGAGGTGCTCTTGTCACTAGCAGCAAACCTAGATTTCTGGACCCAAATGTGGGTAGTCGTTAATTATAATCTCTAGTCCCAGCTCCGCGATCCATATCGGAGTCGCTTGCAGGGGCCAGGCTCACAAGGCAGGAGAGCAGAGCGGCCCCGTGGCTGGGAAGAGGACGCGGTCCTCCTGTCGCCAACGGATTGATAGCATTGCAGGAGACCCAGCTCACAGTCCTGGTCCTCCATGGTGCCGGGGACTGGCCAGCTCCATTTTTATATCCTCTTCCCACTCTAAAATCTTAGCAGCTGACACACATTTGTTTTAAAACCTTGGGCCCAAAAAGTGTGTATACAGATCGAGTATGATTTATCACCTGCTGGTTTATGACATCTGACCTAATGGTTTTTCCTCTTCCTTAACTACCTGTTTTAATGGAAGTACAGAGGCAAAAGAGGAATTTGTAGACCAGGAAACAATTCAGGAATTAAGAAAAAGGGTATTTATGTCTGTTCTGAGATTAAATAAAAAGACAGAGATCCGCCCCTCATTTTTTTATGACCCGTGGATGAGCACATCCCGTGGAGAATCGAATGTGCTAGTGGCCGGGGCCTTGTGCGCAGGAGACATGAAGGGCGCAGGCTCCCGCTCGTAGCAGGAGTCACGGGCCAGTGGAAGGGCTGCAACCCCACAGCTGACCCCAGTTCTGTACCAACTCGGCCCACATCCTTCCAGTACCTTCTGTTCTTTTTCGTTTTCATTTTGGCCTTTGTCTCTCAGCTTCTCTTGGTGGCACCCTAGGGCCAAGATCCCAGGGCATTTTTCTGTCTAATGGTAAAAGGACACGTGAGGCCATCAGGGTGGGAGACAGAGGCCCAGACAGCGGGAGGAGGACGTGGGGGTGGGGGGAAGCCAGCAGCAGCGTTTGTACCTGACAGAGACCACTGTTCAAATGGGAGGCTGTGGGCGCTGTTAACGCCCCCTTGTCTCATTTCTTCTCTTCCCCTCCTTCCTCCCCTCCCCTTGTCCTTCCCTCACCTCTATTATCCTTGGTGTTAAAGAATTCCTTTTCAAAGATCTATTATCTGCCTTCCATCCTTCCTCCCCAATATTCGTGACTGAAAGGGTATTTGATCTGCTTATTTCCAAGTGTATAAAGTGAGAGTTACCTGTGTGCCGGCTTGGCTTGTGTACCCTCCACGGAGCTGCTTCTAGTCTGCACTTCCCTGAAGTTCCTCACACTGACAGCCTCATTATTTCTAACTTGTCTTTTGCACTAAAAGGCAGAATCCAGGGTTGGAGCCCTTGCACGGACTAGAGCACCCTCACTCCACATCTGCCTTACATTCCTGTGCTACAGCTTCTCTCCCTTTTTTTTTTAATTGGCTAACGCAGTCAGTAGTCACTATCAGAAAATGAGGTTGTTCCATTTTTATTTTGTTTTTCTTCACCGGTGATCTTCTGTGCCCACCCCTAGCCACCGGTGATGATGATGAGTGGGACGAAGACTGGGACGACCCCAAGTCCGCTGCTCCCTACTTCAAGGATTCAGAGTCAACAGAAGCAGGGGGTGCTCAGCGGGGCAACAGCCGAGCTGGCTCCTCATCCATGAAGCTGCCACTCAACAAGTAGGTTTAAAGGGCATCGGGGAACGTGAACTCCATGCAGAAACAGAGGGGAGATCCAAGGAGGCTTTCCTCTTTTCAGTGATCTGGGAAGTTTGGGGTGTCATTTGATCATTTCTGTTTGGATCTTAGCTTTAGAAGCTTATTGGAAGAATTTTTTTTTTTCTTTTTAAAGTGAAATATTTGTTCTGTTTAATGATCTGCCAAATACTGTTTTTACCTTTGTCAACTCCATGGCACATTGATGTCACAAGAAAGCTAAAAATAATAATATTAATAATAATAACTCCTTTAACTGTTTTCCTATTTGTTGATCACTTACTGTGGGCCAGGCATTGCGCAGAGTGGCTTCCATGAGCTGTCATGTGACCCTCGTATCCCTTTGTAGTACATAGACTCTGTTTCACTATGGGAAGAACTGAAGCCCAGAGAGGTTAAGTAAGTGTCCAGGCTTGCACAGCTGGTAAGTCAGGATCCCAGGCATTCCTTCAGTCTCTCAACTACTATGCCTAGTATGTTGTAAGACTTTGTTTCATTTAGATTTCTCTGAGATGTAAAACGAGAAGAGTTTGGAACAGTATTTGTAGACTCAGTGCCTGACAGGGAAGCGTGTGGGAAGGGGTGAGTGTGGACAGAGCACCGTGGGATTCCCCGCAGGACAGACCTGCATGAGTCTGTAGTTCACACAGTTAGGTCGAAGGAGACACAGTTTATGACTTCCCTAGGAATCCTCAAATTCTCTTCTTACAGCAGTGTGCTTAATAGAGTTTTTCTAAAACTACCACCACTGTTTCTCCGTGTTCCAAGTCCGTGATTCAGAGCAGGAAGGAATGTTAATCTGTGCCTGGAAACAGTTGTAAAGAGAATGTTTGCTGTGTACCTGGATGTCAAGGTCTGGGTCTAGATCCACACATGGAAGTTTGAGTCCTACTGGTTCTGCTCTGTATGTTTACATAGCATCAAGTGATTAGATGAGCTGGCTTTTAGCTACAAGTTCTTCCTACTTGTCTATCCACTTTCTTCCATTATGTCTTTTCATGTTCAGTTGCATGCATTATAAAATTAGTCATTCACATTGACTCTATCCTTTTCTTAGAGTGGAAGGTGAAGTTCTCAGTGTGGTCTGCAGTGATGTAAATTAGCATAAATTACAAGTGCATTGGAACCCATATTACTGTAAAGTATCTCTCAGCCCCATTTTGACAACGAGGAAGCGCAGACTCCATCATGTGTGTGGCCTAGCGTTCCTGGCTACTGGTTAGGGAGGCTCTGCCTCATGCCCAGGCTCCTGACCCTGCTTTCCCTGCCTTCCTGTGCCCCACGCTCACCTGCTCTCCTCTGCTGTATGATCTTGGGAAGTGGGGTGACCCGTTTGAGCCTCAGTTTCCATATCTCTGAAGTGAAGGGGCTGGCTTTAATTTAAAATTCTCGAAAATTTCAGTTCAGGCTGAAACCAAATCAGAGGAATCCTAAATTGACCCAGAACCTCTGAGGCATCCCTCTCTCCCTCTCTCTCTGGTGCTGAGAGCTGTTTAAAATCCTGTGGCTCTTTTTTTATTATTACTATTTAACTAGACTAGTATATAAATGACTCACAACAGTCATTAAAATTTTTTAAAGTATTAACATTTTTCAGCAGTTAATCCATTTTATATGACAGCCGTGTTCCTGTCATGGAGCATAAACCTTACACTAGAAGAGATTAGAAATTGAAGTATACTCAAGCATTATAAGAATCCATCTTGATAATACTGAAAGAATTAATAAATTGCACTGCTGTTCAATAAGTATTAAATGAATCGGCCCTAGAGGTTTGCTGTGATCCCTAAGAATACCAAAGGAAATGTGAAATGGGACCTCTGCACTCAGAGGCTTACAGTCTAGTCAGGGAATTGTCACTCTGTGTAATCCCCCAATTTTTTCCATCAATATTTTCTAGCAAAAGTACAGGTTATTTAATAAAACTGTTCCAGATTAGTCCATTATGCATTTCGTGTATTCCTATAACTCCTCTGGGTCTTGGAAATACAAATACTTTCTCTAAGGTACTTCTAGTCTGCTGTAATGTGTAAATGGATTATGGTGATTAAGCATGATAAGTTATACAGCAGAAGTATGGTCAGAATGTTGAAGAAGCCCAGAGAGAGCTGTACCTGAGGCTGTAGGGAATACTTTCAAAGAGATGATGACATAATTAGAGATAAGTTTAACTTATGAATATATATACTAGGCTCTTTATATAACTCTCTCATTTAATACCCTCATTCATTTAATTCCCTTATCTTAAAAGGCAGGTCATATTGGTCCCATTCCTCCTACAAGGAGACTGGAGCTCTAAAGGTCACATAGCTATTAATTGTTGGAGTTGGAATTCAAACCCAAGACCATTCAGCTCCTAGACCCCTCTTTGTTCTCTCGTGTATGAGCTGTGCTTAAAGACTGCCTAGGGGGGCACCTGGGTGGCTCAGTCGTTAAGCGTCTGCCTTCGGTTCAGGTCATGATCCCAGGGTCCTGGGATCAAGTCCCACATCAGGCTCCCTGCTCCACGGGAAGCCTGCTTCTCCCTCTCCCACTCCCCCTGCTTGTGTTCCCTCTCTCGCTGCGTCTCTCTCTGTCAAATAAATAAATAAAATCTTTTAAATAAATAAAATAAATAAAGACTGCCTAAGGAAAAGAGGTAAGTCATGTGAGGATGAAGGAAAAGACAGGCCCCTGAGACCATCACATTGGCTTTTAATTTGGTATATGAATGAAATAGAAGTAGTGTAGCTGGTTTTTTGTAGGAATAATATTTCTTTTTCTATTGTAGGTATTTTGCTTTCTGAGGGTCTTTTTTTTTTCCTGTTTATTAAAAGAAATTAATTCTAAAACCCAAATTAATTTTGTCCTCTTTAGAAGTAGTGCTTTGGATGGCTGTATGTTTATTCCAGCTTTTCTCTGATTTTAGAACGTTTGGGGTCTCTACTAAGGAGGAGACTGGTTTTCTTTTGTGTCTTGTAAACCGGTTCTGAAGATGAGTCTAAAAGAAGATGGCTTATGAACAAGTGCTTATGAACAGTGACGGTTTCTCTGGGATAATTGTGGCCTCCTGCAGGGACTATGTTGAAAGACAGCTTCAGTTTGGATACAAATGCTGGCGTGTGGCCACGGCCCCATGTGTTCAACTCCAGGGGCTGTGCTCGGTACTTTCTCCTCCCGTGCCCCGGGGGACAGTTTTCTAGGCTGCCCTTCACTCTCTGTGGGGTGGTAGAGTGTTTCCGATCCAGTTAAGCAAGTAGAGCACCCATAAATATCACACCTTCTGGAGTCAGACTGTTCTCTTACCAGATAAAGCTTAATTAAATGACTAATTGGCCATTGAACAATCTGATTACATTAGGTTTCATTTACCAGTTTTCCTAGTCCTGCTACATCTGAAAGGCAGAACAAGGTTAAAACTCTTGTATTAAGGAAATGTGGACCAGAGTTGTAGAATTCTATAAGGAAAGACATAAGACTCACACACGGGCATTTATCTTCATGACTAGATTTCCTGGATTTGCAAAACCTGGAATGGAACAGTATTTGTTGGCCAAGCAACTAGCAAAACCCAAAGAGAAAATTCCTATCATTGTAAGTTTGTTCACTTTTGTTTGCTTCCTTTGTTTCTAATTAAGCTCTTTTTATGATATCTTAAAGCTAAGAGGGTTATTAGTCTTCTGGAGGGTATTTTTAACACGTTTAATGCTCCAAATAACTGACGGTATGTATTAGTATTGTAAGAGTAGTAAAGATAATTGGCATCAAGTGATGCCTGTTGTTATATTTAGGTATTTTTTAATTTTTACCTCTATGACTATTACTAATTGAACCAACCACGTCTATAGTATATATTCTTTTAATAATTTTTCTTCTCTAAAGTGTCTTGAAGACATGCTGTCTTCCTGCCAACTCTGTATATTTAGCTAATAAGCCCAATTCAAATATTTAGGTTTCTGCCCTGGCAAAGTGCATGCATATTATCCAAATAAGATGCCCTTTCCGGGGCGCCTGGGTGGCTCAGTCAGTTAAGCGGCTGCCTTCGGCTCAGGTCATGATCCTGGGGTCCTGGGATCAAGCCCCACGTCCGACTCCCTGCTCAGTGGGGAGCCTGCTTCTCCCTCTCCCTGCCACTCTGCCTACTTGTGCTCTCTCTCTCTCTGTCAAATAAATAAATAAAATCTTTAAAAAAAAAAAAAAAGATGCCCTTTCCACTGCGCTGGTAATAATTAGTCTTTCCTCCAATAAAGCAGCTGTCAGGTCATAGTAAGGACTAAGCAAATACAAGCTAGGAGTTAGTGACACCATTAAGAATCTCTCCCTCAGAATAACTTGATTATTACCTAACATGACATATAGGCTCTCTGTTTTCACCCAAATGTTGATTGCTGATAGATTTTCTTTCTAAGCATTATCTAGTGCTATATTTCCAGATGAATTCTGGAAAAGAGAACTCTGGCTATCTTTTGACCCTATTGACTTAACCCTGTAACTGTAGGTTGGGGACGGGGTTGGGGGAGAGTCTTGAGTGTAATTATCATAGGCCCAAACAAGGAGGAGGAAACATCTGGTCTTATTCTAATAATCTCTAGGTCCTGGGAAACTTGATAAAGTACAAAAATGATACTGGATTTTTATTATTATTATTATTATTAGTTCCTACATCTTTGAAAAGCTTGAAATCCTAGAAACTCCAGAAAAAAGGGCTGTGGCCAAGAGCCCCTTCCTCCTTTTTCCCTCAAAGCAAATTTGGGGTAATTATCTTCTGAGTGGTTAGATTAAAGATTATTTTAACTTTTAAATTTTTTCTTCAGACTTTTTAGTAAATACTGAACATGTATTGTTGTTTTTACTAAATTTAAAACTCCACAGGACTAAAAGCCCTCAAAGGGGACTTTATCACAAGCATGATAGTGTTGTAGCTAAAGTACCCCAGCGTCGGAGTTGTCCCGTAAGTGTCACGTAGACCTGGGCCCCCTGTACCCTGTAAGCAAGCCACCTGTGCAGGCTCCTGGCATGGAAAGGGAAGCTGAGGGATAATGCCTTCGAGTCTTCAGAAAACCAAGAGAAAGCAGATACGTGGTTCTTTGCTCTTAAGGCACAGTAACCCTGCCCACTAATAAAATGTGAGCCCCTGGATATTGGGCCCTAGTTGATCAGAGTGGCCTCTTTTGGTCCCACTCACTGAGGGCGGTTTCCAGAGATTCCTGCCCTATAGCTTTCAGGGTTTTCTGGATCTGGGCTCCTCCCTGAGGAGTCATAGTAGCTTATTGTCAAGATCTTCTCTTTAGTCCCTTATTAGTAAGATTGTTTGAGCCCTGGTCACCTCCCTGACCTCATAACCTCTGAACTTTCTTACCCCACCCTACTTTTTCTTTCTTCCACCTTTAAAAAGAATTAGGACTGAGTATACAGAAAGTGAAAGTAAGCATTGAGAAAGGTTGAGGGCAGTTTGACATTGTCAAGACATCCAGGTGTGTAATTTCATATTTCACAAAACTACCAGTCTGTGATAGATTGGAAATCTTTTAAAACCAGCCCTTCGTCACAAATGACTAAGACAACTGGACTAGAGAGAGGAAATTGTGTTCCATCCTACACTCCCCTAGAGGAGAGGGAGACAGACATCTCTTCTCCATGGCCTGAGATGCCCACATGGAGAGCAGAAGGGTTTGTCCTAGCAAGTGTGTCTTTAAATATATAACCTTATCAGGAACAGAGAGCATTCATAGAACTTCACAAAGAGCAAGAATGACCCTCCACAGGACTTGTAGTCCTAAAAAGAATCATTTGATGATTTATCAAATATATTGACTATTTTTCCATATTACAAAATTAACTCTCCCTGAAACGTTGTGTAGGTCGGAGATTATGGCCCAATGTGGGTTTATCCTACCTCTACGTTTGACTGTGTGGTAGCAGATCCCAGGAAAGGCTCCAAAATGTACGGTCTGAAAAGCTACATTGAATATCAGTTAACACCTACTGTAAGTATCGACGTTATCAAAAACAGATTCATGCATGCATTCCTAGCTAAAATTTGCTTTTTTCTTCATTTTCCATAGTTGGCATTGGTAATGTTTTCTTCTCTTTCCCTTGTATTTTAGAACACTAATCGATCTGTAAACCACAGGTACAAGCACTTTGACTGGTTATATGAACGTCTCCTGGTTAAGTTTGGGTCAGCCATTCCAATTCCTTCTCTCCCAGATAAGCAAGTCACAGGTGAGTGCATGTGACACTCAAATGACAAGTAATGAGACAGCAGAGCATCTGTCCTAATGTATATCAGTAATGACATTTTCCATCTTCTGGAAGAACAAAATGTAGGAGTTTGGAAAATACTGTACATGTATATACACTGTATATAATATGTACACCTAACGAGAATGTTTCATGAAATTTCCTATCAGAGTTCTTATACACGTATCTTAAGTTCTAGCGAAGGCATTGTGTCCTTCTTGCTACATGATTTCCTGTAAAAGTAATATGTGAATTCTTTAAATACGAAAAATGACACCTGAGAAAATAGAAATGATCTAAATAGCCTGAAATGGAAATAAAAATGTACGATCCAAATGATGTCGTGCAGTCCAGCCGTGTTGCTTTCATTAGAGGTATGGAAGCATCAGATACAGAAGCCACAGAGCATCCAGGTATTAACGTAAGAAATTGTCAAGTTTTCCACTCAGTTATTTTGGTGACTATTAATATTTAAATGTTTTTGTTTATCATTGATAATGACTCTGTCCTGTTTCTTATTTATTTAATGTGTGCTATTTGCCCTGCTCCCCCTGCCTCAAATGATCCTCTGGTAGATAATTCACAGTGCTACCAAAGCCCCTTGTAAATATGCAGTCAGAGAGTATTTGTTTCTCTCTGCTTTGAGAACTGTCACTGATTTTTTTTTTTTTTTTTTAAATCTCCAGCCTCATATAGAACCTGGAGTATCAGTACTCAGAACTCAGTATGTTTGTCTTGGAATAAATATGTAAAGAAGCTGAGCTTTACTGAAGATTAGAAAGGGTTTAGTATGTGGCTAGAAAATTTGCAGCTAAATGAAACTAGTAAGTATAGAAAGGAGAGGATCAAAGATGAGAGTAAGGCCTAAAAGGTCAGCACTGGAGAGGCCTCGAAGGAAGAGCGACCTCGAAGGGCTGACCTGAGCCTGGTGGGAGGATGCGTAGAATCTGTGAAGGAAAACTTCTTTCCTGGGGGTCAGGGAAGACAGAGAGGGCTGAGTCCTCATTCAGCAGGAGCTGAGGTGGGTAGTTGGAGAGGGACGGGGAGTCTGGCAGCCAGATGGCGGAGCCGCTCTACACACTTCCAGTGTCGTGGAGACAGGTGTCCCTCCCTGCTGGGTGTCCCCTGCACGCTGCTCGTGCACGTGCTCAAGTCAGAGCCGTTCGGCAGGCTCTGGTCCACACTGCTGAAACAGGGCTTCGAATCTGATTCCAGAGCTTGCTCTGTGAATGTACACGATGTAACTCAGCTAGTCCTGAGCTAGAACAAGTTACTTTAGGATAAGAAAGTCACTCTCCTTAAAACTTTACTTTGTGCTTTACTTTGCTGTATGTTTAGGTTTCTGTAAAATTTTTTGAGATGGAAAGTTTTGTTTTTACAGAAGTTGTTTTGATTGTGACTTTTTTTTTTTTTCTGGAAAACTTTTCAAAAATTTCCAACTGTGCGTAGCTGAGAGTGGGGCTGCATTGCCCAATGGCTGAGACAGCCTGGCTGTCACCTGGGGTGCTCCTGCACGTCCCTCGTGGAGCCAGGGTGGCTGAGTGGAGGCTGCGGCCGGGAGGCCCGGTTGGTGTAGACTGATTGCGGCTTCCTTCCACCCCGAGGGGTCACCATGCCCCCCATTCAGATACTCACTGTCCCTCCTTATTATTTGACATCACAGCTTTCCTTTTACAAATAAATTTAAATTGATTTCCATGAAAACTTCAGTTCTGCCTTTCCCCTCGTTTTCAAATTTCAGTCTGTTTCTTGAGTTTTATGTTCTCCTCTGTCAGCTTGGTTAGCACATTATGTGCTTCATGGTGTCCGAATAAACAGACTAATGAGCTACTTGAGGGTTGTAGGGATTTCTCCTGTCTTTTAGGCTTTAATACATTGTTTATCCTGGACCAAGATAACTCAGTGCTATTTTAAAGCATCGTAGAGTCACAGTTCTCCCCCCCATACGAAGGTTTGGTTTTTTTAAAGTGCAGGCCCGAAGCCAAGGGGGTGTCATAGAAAAGCAAGAAAGCAACAGCCGCTCAGTCTGAAGAAAGTTGAGCTTTGATTCACTGACTGGGATATGTGCCGAGGAAACCGAAAAGCACAGAAGCCACTTTTATTTCTCCCTTCTCTCGTTTGCCTCCTGCCTGTGGTCCCCACAAGATCATTATTATATAAACTCGCCTCTCACTTACATCCTGGAGAAAAGAGAAAGGAATGCCAAGTAGATGATGTCATGATATTTCTGTGGACTTGATAATCATTCCATGAGAAACTTACAGCTAACATTTTTTATTTGTTGATAGATTTTGTTTTTTTGAGAAATAATATTGAATGAATCTGGTTTTATTCCTGGGTGCAAACTGGTATACTCACATACTTGGTAAAAACCTAAGGTTTGTTGAAAATGGGGAATCAGAAATCCCCCTCCCCCGACCTTCTTTCTAGTTCTCTGGAATCTGGTAGGAAAATCCTAACGAGCACAAAATAACAATCTGAAGTCAGAGTTTGGAAATAAACCAGCAAAAATTTTTTCAGGAGGGATAAGAATCATTAATGAATTAATTAATTTCAGTCAATGAGTACGTTATAAACTCTCCACTTTCTCCTAATGGAGAATTCAGTATAACCCAGGTTCATGTTGACTTACTGGGTCTTTTCTGCCCAGGAGGTGGGTCATCTTCTTTCCAAGGGGTGAGACTTTGTTTCTTCGTAGTTTAAGGTTCTGTAGCACTTAATCTCTACTCCTAGGAAGTGCAAAAATTGAATTGTTTTGAAATACAGGAAGTGTCTAGACCCAGCATGCTGTTCAAGTGACACCTTTTAGGTAATGAGTTTTTGCTGTGTGGCTCTGTAGTGCTCTTCTTTTTAAAAGAAATTTGTGCTTATTTGTACTTACAATTTCTAAAGGAAAGGCCAGGCTGCATTTTTAAAAATTTATTTGTAAACTTCTATACAGTAAACGCACTCCTTTTGGTGTATAGTTTTAAGAGTTTTGACAACTATCACTACAGTCTTACACCCACCCCGCTGTATTCAACCATCACTCCCCCAGATTCCCTTGAGCTGCCCCTTTATACTCAGCCCCTCCCCCTAGTTCTAACCCATGACAGCCCTGATGGGTTCTTTGTCTCTACAGTTTTGCCTTTTCCAGAATATCATTATAAATGGAAGCATATAGACCTACCTCAAGAAGCAAGAAAAATCTCAAACAACCTAACCTTACACCTAAAGAGCTAGAAAAAGAAGAACAAACAAAGCCCAAAACCAGTAGAAAAAAGGAAATAATACAGAGCAGAAATAAATGAAATAGAAACTAAAAAAAGCAATAGAACAGATCGATGAAACCAGAAGCTGGTTGCAGAAAAAAAAATGGAAGCGTACAGAGTGTGTCTTCTGATTGTGGCTTTGTTCACTTGGCATTGTGCATTTGAGATTCACGCATCTTGTGTGTATCAGTTTGTTTATCGGTTCACTCGTTGGAAGACATTTGGGTTTCCAGTTTGGGGCATTTATAAATAAAGCTGCTAGAAACATTTACATACAAGTTTTTGTATGAATGTAAGTTATCATTTCTCTTGGGTGAATACCTAAAGGTAGAATGACAGGGTCATTTGGCAAGTATAAGTGTCATGTTTAAGAAATTGCCTGTTTTCCAGAGTGGCTATTCCATCTTGGAATCCCCACCAGCAGTGGATGAGAGTTTCGGGGGCTCCACATCCTTACTTGCACTTTTCGATACTGTCAGTTTTTCTCTGTTCTAACAAATCTATTAGATATGTAGTAGTACCTCATCATGGATTTAATTTGCCTTTCACTTGTAACTAGTGGTATTGAACATCTTTTCATGTGCTCATTTCCCTTCCATATATTTTCTTTGGTGAAGTGTCTGTTTAAATCTTTTGCCCATTTCTCATTAGGTTGTTTTCTCATTATAGGATTTTGATATCTTTATATTCTGGAAACAAGTCTTCTGTCAAATAATGTGATTTGCAAATAATTTGTCCCAGGCATGGCTTGTCTTTCTCTCAACAGTGTCCTTTGCATAACAAAAGCTTTTAATTTTAATGAAGTTCAAAGTACCAATTGTTTCTTTTATGGATTATGCTTCAGATACGACAAAAACCTCTTTGCCCTAGCCCAAGTTCCTGGTAATATTTTCTCCAGAAAGTTTTGTAGTTTTAGGTGCATTTTGAGTTAGTGTTTGTGTAAGATGTGAGGTATGATAAGGCAGAGGTTTATGTTACGCATCTGGGTATCTAGTAGTTCTCACACTGTTGAAAAGAGTATTCTTTCTCTGTTGAATTTCCTTTGCATTTTGTCAAAAATCAATTGAACATATTTGTGTGGTTTTATTTCTGGACTGTATTCTGTTCTGTTGATTTATGTGTCCATCCTTATGCTAATACCACACTGTCTTAATTAGTAAATCTTTAAATCGGGTAGTATAAATCCTCCAACTTGGTTCTTTTTCAAAATAGTTCTGGACTGTTTTTCATTTGCCTTTCCATATTCATTTGAGTTAGTTTGTGGATATCTATAAATAATCATGCTGGGACTTTGATTGGTATACATACAGTTTGTAATTGTTATATCTTCCTGATGTAGTGACTCTTTTGTAATTATGAAATGTGTCCTCTTGTCTCTAGTGAAATTTCCTGTGTTAAAATCTATTTTGTCTGATATTAATATAGTCACTCCAGTTCTCTTATGGTTACTGTGTGCAAGGCTTATCTTTTCCCATCTTTTACTTTCAGGCTGTTAGTGTCTTTGAATCTGTATCTCTTGTTGACAACATTGTTGGAGCTTGCTTTTTTATCAGGTCGGGAAACCTCTACATTTTGATTAGAGTTTTTGGACCATTCATATTTACTAATTATTGACCCAGTTAGGTTTACATTTGCCATTTTGATATTTTCTATGTGTCTTGTTTGTTCCATTCCTCCTTTACTGCCTTTCTTTTGTGTTAAATATTTTCTGATGTGCTGTTTTAATCCCTCTCATTTTTCCACTAAATTTTAAAAATTATTTTCTTGCCTCAGTGGATACAATATGCATCTTTCTATAATGTTACAGTGCACTTCATATTAATACTCAATTATGGTAAAATTCATAGAAACTTTTCTCCAGTATAGCTCTGTTTCCCTCTCTCTTTTTATGCTCCTGTCATCATATATTTTATATCCATATCTGTTATAAATTGAACAATACAGTATGATAATTATTGCTTTCTACAATCTTGTCTTTAAAAGAAATTAAGAGAAGAAATTAGGAAAAAATGCATCTTTTATGTTAATCCATGTATTTCTGCTGCTTTTCATTTCTCTCTGTAAATTTGGGTAATTTCCTTTTAGCCGGAGGCAGTATTTTTTTAGCCTGAAGGACTTCCTCTAATATTTCCTTAATACAGGTCTGCTATTGGTTAATTCTCTCATCTTTGTTTATCTGGGAATGTCTTTGTTTTGCCTTTATTTCTGAAGGATAGGGGTACTGGTTGTAGAATTCATGGCTGACAGTTTTCCTTTCAGCATGATGAATTTGTCTTTCCATTGCTTCTGATCTCCATTGTGTCAGATTCACACACACACACACACACCCACACACCCACCCACCCACCCAAAAATCGTGAGGCATTTTTCACTTGCTGCTGCCAAGATTTTGTTTCTGTCTTTCAGCAGTTTGATTCTGCTGTATCGTGGTGTGGTTATCTTCATATTTATCCTAGCCAGGTTTGTTTAAAGTTTTCCATCAAATTTGGGAAACTTTCCCCTGTTACTACTGCAGATAAATTTTCTTCTTCTCTCTTCTCCTTTGGGGATTCCCATTACCGGTATCTTGGTGTGCTGTATGTTTTCTGAGGCCCTGTTCATTGTGCTTCCATTTTTTTTTCTCTCTATGCTTCAGATTAGATAACTTCTATTAATCTGCAGATTCCCAGATTCTTTCTTCTGCCATCTTGAATCTGCATTTGGCCCCTATAGTGAATTTTTAATTTCAGTTATTGTATTTTCAACTCCAAACTTTTCATTTTAATTTTTTATAAGTTCTTTTTCTTGAGAATCTTTGTTTTGATTCCATGTCATATTTCTCTTTACATTTGTAAACATGACTTCCTTTAGTTCTTTGAATGTATTTCTAGAAGCTGCTTTGTGTGCGAAATTCAGCATCCAGAAACATTAAGGGACAGTTCCTATTGACTACTTTTTTGTTGATATGGGTCATATCTTGTTATATCTTTGCACTCTCTTAATTTTTTGTTGAAAACTGAACAGTTTAAGAATATATTTTAGCAATTCTCGATTCTAATTTTTCCTCTCTGAAGGTTGTTGTTTCTCCTGTATTTGTTTGGTAAGTAACTTGCTTAGGCTCTGAAATCTCTCTCCCCTGAAGTTCAGTTATTTTTGTGTTTTTTTTTTTCTTTTAAGTTTGGCTTCTTGGGGTTCACCATTGTGTCTGTGTAGATTTGTGGTAAGCCTGCCTCAAGCCACTAAGGCTTCTGTCCTCTGCTGATGGATGTCTGTGTGGGTAGGAGACTGCATTCAAAGCTCAGATAATTTTCAAGTTGGCTGTCCTGGCTTTTACTTTTTTGTGAGCCTTTTTGTGTCTCCTTTACAAGTGTGTGCAGCCACAGAGTTGGCCAGGGGTATGTGGCTGGCTTGGATCCCATCTGGACTCCACTGTTTCTGCACACAGCCTCAGCCTGGAATATGCTTGGCCCAACCAGGCAATCTTGGCTAGTGGAGCCGTTGGCCCTTCCTGTTACCCAGCCTCTGGATTGTCCCTGCCGCCACCACCGAGCAGGGGCATGTCCCCCTGCTCCAGGTCAGGCCAGCCTCTTACCTCACTAGGGGACCTGCAGTGGCCGGTCTTCACAGCCTGTCCTATATGGGCAGACCTTCCATGTCCACCGAGGAGAGGGTGGGGAGGCCGAGGGGCAGTGGGGGAGACAGGAGCAGCCCCAGGCCAGACATTTCCATGCTACAGATTTCCACGCTTCTTGCATAAAGTTCAGCCGTTTTGCAAATATAAACACTTCTCAGATGGCTCTTTGCCTTTGGTTGATTTCCAAAACACTTATTTTTGGTGGCTTCTGTCCAGCTTTATAATTATTTTGGGGGGATGGGAATAGCTGATTGCCTCACTCGACTGTAGCTGGAACTTTCATCTCCAGAAGCCTTTTAACTAATAGTGGTTTTGTTTGGGAGGCTTATAAAAATGTCCAGTGTTCACTTGATGACTGGTATGTCAGGCTTGTTAAGCTGATTTTCTGCTCTTAAAACAGAAATATCACTCATTAAGCTATCTTTTAGAATGGTCATAAGCTCTGAGATGGTAGCTTTTACTACCGCATTAATGGAAAATGGCTTTTTCTATTTTGGGCTTAAGTAATTTAAAAAACCAAACGGAATAAAGAGCTCAGTCATTCTGAGTTACTTTTCATAAATACTAAGTTTAAGTTTGTGTATCTGAGATTATATTGCATTAGGACACATTTTTATAAATATAGAAATTTTATGCCCTTTTTAAGAATTATTTATTAAATTCCATTTTCTTGCCCCCTTTCTTGCCCCATAAGGCTTCATATGGTCACCACAGAATGGGCATAGTCTTAGTTTATCAAAGTTTTTCATACCAAGATAAGATTTGCTTTTGAATTTGTTGAGTACTTAGGGATCCTTGAAGAAAATCGCACTTTGTGGCTGTGCTTTTTCTTGTCACAGTTAAAAAGCTTGTTAATTTGTTAAATCAGAATCTCATTCTTATAAACTAAAGTGTCTGTTGTATCTTTCCTGTGTCTCTCTGAGCATTTGCTGTCTTACAGCTTGTTTTTAGGTTAGTGAGAAATTACCATGGTCTTTACCTTTTACTAAATAATGTTCTACCAAGTACCCGTAGATACAAACGGCTTTTCCTTTGTGGTGACGGTAACTCGCTTTACACTGCAGTCTGCATCACTCTTGCTGTGCCCCTTGCAGGTCGCTTCGAAGAAGAGTTTATCAAAATGCGCATGGAGAGGCTCCAGGCATGGATGACCAGGATGTGTCGTCACCCAGTAATCTCAGAAAGTGAGCTTTTCCAGCAATTTCTAAATTTCCGAGATGAAAAGGTAGGACCTGTTATTATGGTAGTCTTAGGTCATATTGAGAATTGTCACATTCACATCAATTTTATGTCTGAAAGTTAAAATTATGTCAGTTAGCTATTTCTCATTTCCTCCAAAGACAAAGAGGGGACAGAAACCTAGGTCTTCACCATAGGAAATAAGTCACGCTATGTGGAAGAATGCTTGCCAGAATGGTTTTCCATAAATTGGGAATGGACTGGCCCAGAGTTGGCAGGAAGTGAATGATGTGATAGTGTGAGGAATTTTTTTCCCTAGATGCTTTTAAAAATACCCAAACTGGATCCAGGATATTATCCATATGAAGTGAAGGAAATAGAGTGAATGATTTCTTGACATCCTTTTTTTTTTTTTTTTAAAGATTTTATTTATTTGGCAGAGAGAGACAAAGCGAGAGAAGGAACACAAGCAGGGGGAGTGGGAGAGAGAGAAGCAGGCTTCCCGCTGAGCAGGGAGCCTGATGCGGGGCTCGATCCCAGGACCCTGGGACCATGACCTGAGCCGAAGGCAGATGCTTAATAACTGAGCCACCCAGGTGGTGATTAACGTAACATTAAAAAAAAAAAAAAATCCTCTTTTGACCTTGCAGTGTGGTAACATCATGAAAAGAAAAGTAGATTCAGAAGTGGACCATCCTTCTCAAAACAGAGTCATTTTTTCCAGAACTATAGTTGCATGTCCAGAGTAAATGCTGGTCTGTCTTTGTCCCCCTGGATAGTCATTCTGCCAATGGCCACGTGTTCTTTGTTGAGAATCAAGAAAACATTGGCTGTTTGACATCTCATTATTGTCTGCTTTGGAAATAGTTTTCTCTCTCTCTCAGTAAGCTTTTACTCTATAGTGTATCTTTTTATCCTGTAAAGATGGTTTCTCCATATTTCTCTTGTAACAAATATTACATATCTTAGAAAACAGTGCAAAGAATAAAAGCGTAAGTTAGCTCAGATGCCAACAGCAGATACAAAATAAGTTAGAATCCTAGAAAAAAAGTCATGAGATTATTTTCATGTCTAATCAAATACTAGCGTATTAAATACTTTGTTGGAACTTTCAGACAGATTTACTTGCTAAACTGCTTTGTAGTACTTTTCCCTTGTTAATGTGAACACATTTATAATAAGTATAAATAATCTGGCTCTGTGTATGCTTACAGACATAGGCATACACTTAATGTAGTATAAAATATTTGGGCCTTATTCTCAGTTGCTGCTTATTTCTAGAATTGGCAGGCTCATTTGAGTGGGTTGCATGTAACCAGGCCAGGAGCTAGGAAACAGGGAGGTGCTTCAGCATTTTTTGTCTAGATCGTAGCTCTGGCCTTGCAAGGTGCCCTGGAAAACTGATTTCTCTGGTGAGATGTAATGTTCAGCCATAGTATGCCCTGTAACCATATAGTGGTGAAACTAGGTACTTTGAGTGAGTTACTTTGTAAACTACATGGAATCCCCTCCCAAGTTTGTTGCCTTTAACAAAAGTCCTGATTTTCCAAAGATTTGATTTAGAAAGCACTTCTAAAGATTATGTCTTACACAGAATATTATTATTAAAGATACTAATACATCTAGACACTGGGGTTTGGGTGGATTTGATACAATAGGAAAAAGAAAGAACTTGGAGTCAGGGCTCTGCTTCTAGCTCCTACTGTGATCTTGGCCACAGCATTGAATCTCTGGGTCACAGTTTCCTCACCTGCTAAATGACTGTGTAAAACTAGATAATCACTAAAAACTGGGATTCTGTGGCCAGAAGTAGCTTGTGTAGATGGATGGACATAGTAAGTTTTCTGTTACTAGAAATAAGTGGTTAGTACGATAGCTGGATATAAGACATTACATATTTACATACCAGCAATAAATGAAAACAAAATGAAAGTCTAAAAAAAACTATCAGACTAGCATAAAAATATATCTAGGAATAGTATAAGAAAATGTACAGAAAAACTCTACATAAAAAACTATGAAACATGTTTGAGAGAAATAAAACCTGGCTAAGTGTTCCAATGCTGTTTCATGGATTGACGAGCAGAAGAGATGCTATACATGTGGAAAATCAAAGCACTAAGAATAGCCAAAGTACTCTTGAAAAAGAATGACGTGGGAGGAGGGCTTTATTGGATATTAAGACTCATTACAAAGCTAAAATAATTTTAAAAGCATGGTATTGGCATAAGGATAGACCATGGAACAGAATAGAGTTGGATGCTTGATTCATGGCAAAGATAGTGCCAAGAACAGTGGAGATAGGACAGTCTTTCCAGTCAGTGGTGCCGGATCAACTGGATGGCGTCATTGAGGAAAAATGAGATTTGGTCACCACCTCACGACAGTCTACTGTTGATTTTGTTAGGGATGACACCGGAATCGTGGCCCTGTCTATTAAAGGTATTTATAGGTGAAATGATACTATGTCTGGGACTTCCAATAAAATCAGCAAGAAGAAAATAAAAGGTAGAATGGAAGAGAATAGAAAAACCAAGACTGGCAAAATGCTGATACATGTTGCAGCTGAGTCTGGGTGGGGGTTAGACTTTTCTCTGTACTTTTATACGTGGTTGAACGTTTCTGTTGTATAAAGTTTTTTTTTTTTTTTAAATCAGTTCCAGGTGGTTTGAAGGTCTAATGTGAAAGGCAGCATAATAAAGCTTCAAGAAGGTTACATAGGGGAATATCTTCATACCCCTAAGGTAGGGAAGGATTTCTGAAATATGACACAAAAATGACTAGTCACACAGGAAGAGGGTGATAAATTAGACTACATTAAAATTAAGAACTGCTGTGTATCAAAGAAAGCCTTTAAAAGTGAAAAGCAAGCTAAAGATCTGAACATACAATAACCAACAAAGGGCTGCATTTTGGAATATATGAAAACCCATACAAATCCATAAGAAAGATAACCCAGTAGAAAAGGAGATTTGGTGTAAGGTACCTCACGAAACAAAGTGTCTCAGTCATCAACAGATATGTAGCAAACTACTTAACCTCATTACCTCATTAGTCATCAAGCAAATGCAAATTAAAACTACAGTGAATGCCACTGTGCACCTGCCGGAATGGCTGACATTAGAAAGACTGACCAGGGGCGCCTGCGTGGCTCAGTTGGTTAAGCGACTGCCTTCGGCTCAGGTCATGATCCTGGAGTCCCGGGATCGAGTCCCACGTCGGGCTCCCTGCTCAGCAGGGAG